AAATTCATTGCTAAAACATGTCATGGCAGCGATATGAACACACAGAGCGGCCACTGGATGTGCAGTGTTTCCATGGAGACTAAAAGGAAAAGGCCGAGACGGCGCATGCATCGCTATTTTTCATCTTTAACCAGAGCTGCAAAATGAGTCTATTTTATGATTGCTGTCTGTTCTTTTTTATCCTTTACGATAAAAAGCACTGGACTGGGTTAGTTGGCTCATGGAGGGAGGATTTGGCTTAAAGATTAACCAGATATGTGTGTCAGCAGGACAGAGGAGAAAATGCAGATAGTACAGGAGGAGGAGAGCACATCCATGGGTTTATGTCCAAAAACAAGCAGCAGACATCCAGGGTCCAGCCATCATCCAACCAGGAGGATGGGGGGGCTGGGGGGGATGGAGGGCCGCATGTCATCAGAGGGATGAGGATTACAAATGACCACTAGAAGAGGGATGAAAAATATATAGATGGAATGAACGAAGGGATTCAGATTGTCTGCTGTCAGTTACGGACGGTTGGATTTTTGTCCTTCGCAGATGTGGGACAAGCTGCCGCCTCACTTCACCGGTGAAGCGAGATGTGTTGATGGGTGGGTTGAGGGGTGGGGGTGGAGGTTTAGCCCAAGGTGGCTGTCTGCACCAAATCTGCCAGCTTCTTTTTGTGCTACTGTAAAAGCACCTGATCTGGAAGGTGACAAGCCACAAAATCACTTGAGGAAAATTTTTGAATCCAACTGACGTTAAGATGATGATGGTGAATTTCATTATCTTAATATCCTGCACCATCCCTGGAGCAGAGATAGAATCTCCATCTCATTAAACCATTTTTTAATAAACATGGAAGCCTTCCTCTGCCTTTCTGTCATTTTCACTATTTAAAAAAAACCGATGCCATGTTTAGTGAGATTCATGGACCTAAGAAGGTGAATTTCAGCAGCAAGTCATTTTTTGGCAATCGACTATCTATGGAGGGTTAAATAAATATCTGTACATGTATTATGTAAAAAACACGTAAAACTAATAAATAAATGTTCCATCAATACTATTCAACAATTGAAAACTCTTCAGTTAAATACTATTTAAATATTTTATGCATCATTACAATATTAAATTAAATAATTTGCAACAAATTGGTTAAACACCACTTATTTTGGGTCGGGGGGTGTTATGGCACTAGTGGCTCAATTTTTGGACAGTAGACTGACAGGAAATGGGGTATGAGTGAAGGGCAGAGACATGCAGCGAAGGACCACAGGTTGGATCCAAACCCGGGGTCGGCCGTGTCGAGGACTAACCCCTTGCTCAAACTGGCTCCGGTGCGGTTACCGAGCCGACGGAGACCGCAACTCCCGCACACCCCCTCTCCCACTGCCCTTTTGACTACGGTGCGGTGCGGTTCTGCGGCTCCGGCAACAGGTCCGGAGATTTAACAGAAGTTCACTTGAGTTCACGTAACTTCACGCGATAACACGGCCCAAATAAGGATATTTGCGAGAGCTTGTTGCGGAGGGCTCCGGCACGCCGCAAGGATAGCTTTCTTGCGGAATTTTATGCAGTGCCGGAGTGTCTCGGTAACCGCAGCCAGACAGCTCAGCAGCCGGTGAGAAAGGTTTACGTCTTTTTAATGACTTGGAATCACTGCGGCGCCGCACCCACCACACCGCAACGGTAAGACCGGAGTCGGTGTGAGCCTGGGGTATAGCCTCCGTATGTGGGTCGTGTGTGCTTACCACTGCGCTACCAAAGCCCGCCCCATAAGTTTTTATTATTTATTTACATGCACATTTTATATTTCACTAAGTATTTATGTATGTCATGTCGTCTGTGCGGCACCTATCAAACTCAGTGGGCGGGACTAGGGAAACATCCATAAAGACTCTGGCGTCTGATTGGTTGCTTCTCACTACACAGTACAAGACCACTTTTTCCAAGTTTTCTTTGACAAAGCCTATATTTAGCCAGTTAAGTCACAAATAACTTTAGAAACCAGTTACAATTTATTCAACACAGACTCTGTATCCCTAGTTTGGTCTGAAATATATCTAATAAGCTTATAAGAAAGCTCACTGAGGTCCAACATGGCGTGGGTTGCCACAGACTTCAGAAAGCATCAACATTAGCTCCATCTATTGGATAAAACCGACTTAAGTTCTCTCATGAACAAAAGAGACCAAACTAAGGACATAGACGCTGGTGTTGCTTATTTTGGAAGTTATTTCCACATTTTACAGTGAAAGCATTTACTAGAGTGAAACGCTTAGACCGAATATAGAGCACTGAACAACCCAGATGGTAATCATCAGATATGAACAAAATAAATATATAAAAACATCCATGCAAGCTAATTTCCTGACACTGAGGTACACTTCCGGTTCTACCCCTCATCCCAGTCAAGAGGAGGAGCAATAAGTGACAAATATTGATGATCTACAGGACAGGATGCTTTTAATCCTTTGCATCAAGACCACCTTTAAATACATTTTAAATTATAACACTTATTAAGACTTACTGTGAAAACGTAAGATGAAATAGTTTACTATTCTGTAGAAGATTTACGATTTCCTTTGGAAGCTTTAGGGGTTAACCTGGAGCTCAGTTCTATACATCTAGTTCTACTGGCTGGTCTACTGCTCCCAACGAATCATTTAGGGAAAAAGAGGGACCTTATGCAGAAATTTTGAAGCAGGGCCAATACAAGACAATTCTCGTGTTTGTGAATGCTCTGAAATAGGATTATTTAAGGCTATTTAAGGGTACTATACAGAAGGAAATTCCAGCTAAACTACTTTGCAGCAAAGAAGAAAAGATTCCAAGTTTTAAAGCTTTTTTTAAACCTGTAATAAAATGTGTATTGAAAGGGGGTAAAGTTTAAATGTCGTTACAAAAAGGTCCAATTACTGCATTAAGTTCTAACTCCTCACTTGGATGGGGCTTAATCTAGTGCCAGATCACATAAGAAAATCCTGAGGTTTTGGCATTTTAGTTTAATATTAGGATGACAATAACAGTCTACTGCATCCTCGTTTTCTCAGCAGTGATTCTCTGACTTTTAATGATTTGGTGAAACTCCAAAAAGCCAAAAGTAACAATAGATATTTAATGTTAAAAACCAATGGAACATAATTTCTCTTCAATATAACATTTCAAATAGTGCTTTGCGATATATAAATATTGGTGCTGATACTGTGATGACTATATATTTTTCCCCCCAATTTAAACCACAATTTAAACAACAAAGCACCCTCATTAAATCTGCCATGTTCAACTGTTTAATTGTGCAAAACAGCTTGAATTTAGTGACAATTGCATATGATTTTAGATTGAGTCACAAGCTGTTAAAGAGAATGGAACATATTTTATGACCTGATTAGTTCCAATCAATTTAACATTTAAGACAAATCCAAAATGTAATTAGAGGTTTTATGAACCATTTCTCTATACAAACTGGATCTTTCAAAGCGGCAGTAAATATCTTAAAACGTTTAAAATGCATCTGTCTTTTTGTGAAACATTGTGTTCATGAAATCAACGGGTTAAAGTGAAATAAAGTGCCATGTTCTGTTGATTCAGTGGATGTGGTGGAAATGGTGAACTGACAGGGAAAGGATGTCTTTGTTGCTCCATATAACCCAGACACAGTGACAATAAAACCACATCCATGTGAATTTCAGCTGCTCAGATGAATCAGTCGGATTTTATTTGATTATAACGCCAGACTGATTTCATCTCGTGCACGTTCCTGCATGATTAATCTGACAGCAATGTGGCCGGCGTGCATGTGCAGCAAACCCCTTTGTCTGAGGTCCTCCGCACACGTGTTGGTTCTTTTATTTTCATGTTTACTTTAGATTTTTTTGCCCTATTTTCCCTAACTGAGTGTATCAGAATGTCCTCAGACCCCTCATGAATTATTTATCAGCTACCCCTCGGCTTTAATCCTCGCCTTTTGTGAAGCTGTGGTCCCTTTGGGGATCCGGTTAAATGCATCTACTGCTGGACGTTGTTACTGTCACACGAACCTGAGGGTCCTGGGATTTTTCTGGGGAGGATTCTGTGGTTGCGTACTGACAGTGTTAAAACAGTGACCTGATTGTCAAAAAACACTGCTTGTTTCATTGGTGTTCCTTTAATAGGAGTATTTAGCAGCATTTTAGACCTCATATACAATAAAAGCATCCACATATCTGAAAATGGAGCAGATATGAAATGTAATTGTATGTTTTCTGACATTATTACTTAAGTAAAACCTAAAATTCTAATGTAACTTTCAAATTTTTATAACACAGTATTGATTAAGATGAACCTAGATCTTCCTCTGTAACTCTTTCTTTTCCATTACAGGAACGTTTCCACCTCTCTATTAGCTCTGATCATTGTCAGATGTGTTCACAAAGGACAGTAAACGAACCATCTGAGTTATCTGATCGGATGCATATATTTGACATGTTTGTTAGTTAGGATTTTGCACAAATTTATATTATTTGTATTCAATATATTGAGCAGCTCTAACTATGTTGCTATTCTGGTGCCAGATGGGGTCTTCAAGACTTTAAGCTGACCTACTTTATGCTTTATGTAATTTTATTTTAGATTTCATACTTTCACTGATAGTTAAACAATCATCCTTTTTTTGCATCATCTGAATTATCACTCTGTAACAGTTACTAGAATAATGTTTTTAAATGTTTTCTAGTGGAAAATCTCTTAATAATTGGGTATATTACGTTTTTACCATGTAGGTTGGGATTAAAGCAGCAATGGATAGTATTAATATAGTAATTTAAATACATTTTACCGGTTCATTAATGAGAAGAACTTCCTAACCTACAATGTGAGCCTCACTGACCTCCTTTCTGTCTGCCCTGTGGGACTATGTTACGGTAGCCTTCCCTGAATCCACTGAGATGATGTGCTGCTGCTGCCTGCAGCAGACAATTCAACTAATTGATGCAAACGCTTTTGCATGATTGCTGTGCACAGAGAAAGAAGCCGCGTCTTACCGTGGACACACAGTGGGATCAGGTGCAGAGCCATGGAGCAAAACAGCAGCATTTGCCTCCAGCATCCAGCGCAGACGCTCGCTTTCTTCCTTCCCTGCATCCTTGTTGTGCAATTTTATGCTCAGACGATCGAATGTTGAAATATAAAAATAAAACACCCTGGATTTTAAAAAGTAGTGTCAGAAAAGTTGGGGAAGCTTGCAGCAAGTAGTCCGGATGGATGGATGTTTATTCTAGACTCCAGCCTCTCCGCGCTTCTCCTCCATAGCCGCTTGGTCTGCTGCGTCTCCGCCGCTGCTTTACTCACTCCGGTCAGCTCCCTGTGGAGGCTTTTACGGCTCCATTGCTACAGAACGTGCAGGAGGCGGGCGGTGTTAGGGGGGTTAGTAGTTTCTAGATGGCGCAGAGAAAAGTTGCGGACCGGACCGGTGCTTTTTGGGGCGGTTCGTGTGGCTGAGAGGAGGACAAACGCACGGCGGTCTGCTGCGCGCTCGGCAACCTTCTGATCGGCTGGGAAAAAAAGAGGACTGTTGATGCGCCTCCTCTCCCACCTCTTCTCCCCCATCCTTACCCCCCTTTCCTTTCTTCCCTTTCACATTTCACCAAAATCATTTCCACCTTATTATATTCTCTCCGTTTACTAAACTTTGCACGACTTTTACTCCTTCTTAACCCCTCACACTTTTCCTTCCTTACTTCCTTCCTTCCTTCCTTCCTTATCCTCTGATTAGAGGATTAGGGCCACTGAAAAAATTAAAACAGATAAACATATTTTTAAGAATTATTTCTAGTTCATATGGGGATGGACATCTGACTTTTTTCTCAATATTATGACTTTAATCTCAGAATTATGACTTTAATCTCAAAATTCAAACTTTTTCTCTGAATTATGATTTTAATCTCAGATTTTTTTCTTAGAATTCTGACTTTTTTCTCAGATTTATGACTTTAATCTCAGAATTCTGACTTTAATCTCAGAATTATAACTTTTTTTCTCAGAATTATGACTTTAATCTCAGAATTATGACTAAAATCTCAAAATTCTAACTTTTTTTCTCGGAATTCTGACTTTAATCTCAGCATTCTGACTTTAGTCTCAGAATTCCGATTTTTCCCCCCTCAAAATTATGACTTTGATTTCAGAATGATGACTATTTTTCTCAAAATTATGACTTTTTTTCCTCAGAATTATGACTTTTTTCTCAGAATTCTGATTTTAATCTCAGAATTCTGACTTTATTAAAACTTTAATTAAGTCAGAATTCTACAGTTTTTTTGGATTGCTTACACACTAAAGTTAAAAGTAGTACACTATAAGCAAAACCTTACACTCAAGAAGCAAAACATCAACCCATATTTGCACAACTATAAGCACATTGTCAACCTCACACTTGTTGCAAAACTCTACACACAGTGATTTGCAAAACACTAAACACACTTAACATACATTACACACAAAAATTTATTATGAAGTCACTTCCTTGCAATACCAAAGCACTGACTGTCAAATTACCGCACCTTCCAACCAATTGATTCAACACAGTCATCAGGTGTGCAAACACTTGTTTGCTTAATTGTAGACACACCAATCAGGTGTATAAGCACTATAAAAAGCAGCAGGTGAGTTCATCGGTCTTCAAGCAAAATGGAAAGAGTCAGAGAAATAGTAAGACAAGGTGGAGGAGAAGGAGGAGGACAAGGACAAGGAGGAGGACGACAAGGAGAAGGACAAGGAGGAAGGGGAGGAAGAGGAATCAACAGAGGAGGAATCAACGGAAGAGGAAGAGATGGAGGCCATGCTGGAGGTAGAGGAAGAGGAAGACTTACATTCTTGGACCAATTGCACAACATAACAGCAGCAAATCAAATTGATCATATGCAATACATTGTTGTCTGGGACAATGTGTCTTTCCACCGCTCTGCTCTGGTTCAGAACTGGTTTCAGCAAAATCTACATTTCCTATATCTTCCACCATACTCTCCATTTGTCAACCCTATGGAAGAGTTTTTCTCGGCATGGCGGTGGAAGGTATATGATCTCTGTCTCCAGGCTGAGGTACCCCTCATCCAAGCCATGGAGGAGGCCTGTGACCAGATGGAGGTAGCAACAATGCAAGGATGGATTCATCATTCAAGACGTTTCTTTCCAAGGTGTCTTGCTAATGACAACATTGCCTTCGATGTTGATGAAATTCTCTGGCCAGATCCAGCTAGGCGAAGAGACAATGTCTAGTTTTTGTTTAGTTTTTTTAAAGTAAACTTACAGTACAATACAGTTTTTTTGGATTGCTTAAGCACAATTTTCAAAACAGGGCCCGTGTTTTCAAAACACTACACACAATTAGCACAACTACACACCCAATTAGCAAAACACTACAGATCCTTTGCATAATTAAACACTCTTGTAAAAACTATACACTTCTGTTTAAAAACCACACTTTGTTACCATATGAAACACACACGTTTCACATTACTATACTCTGTTTGCACGACTTACACTCTGCTGTGATAAACCTAAAACACTTTTAGCACTTCTACTTCCCTATGATTAGAGTTGGTTACCATCAACAAAGTACAAATATAATGTAAATTCACCAAACACTACACAAGACCAATGTTGCAGACTGAAGAAACTCATTTATTTCTCAACACGCCCAAAATGTTGACATGGAGATTCCTAATATTGTAACAAAATGTCACTTTACGTATTGTACTGTAAGTTTACTGTAAAAAACAAAACGAAACAAAAACTAGACATTGTCTCTTCGCCTAGCTGGATCTGGCCAGAGAATTTCATCAACATTGCAGGCAATGTTGTCATTAGCAAGACACCTTGGAAAGAAACGTCTTGAATGATGAATCCATCCTTGCATTGCTGCTACCTCCATCTGGTCACAGGCCTCCTCCATGGCCTGGATGAGGGGTACCTCAGCCTGGAGACAGAGATCATATACCTTCCACCGCCATGCCGAGAAAAACTCTTCTATAGGGTTGAGAAATGGAGAGTATGGTGGAAGATATAGGACGGTGAAATGTGGATGTTGCTGAAACCAGTTCTGAACCAGAGCAGAGCGGTGGAAAGACACATTGTCCCAGACAACAATGTATTGCATATGATCGATTTGATTTGCTGCTGTTATGTTGTGCAATTGGTCCAAGAATGTAAGTATGAGTGCTGTGTTGTAAGGGCCCATATGGGCATGGTGGTGGAGGACCCCATTCTGTGTAATGGCTGCACAGAGTGTTATATTACCCCCACGTTGCCCTGGGACATTGACTATACTATAGCTCTGTGGCCAATGATGTTTCTTCCCCTCCTTCGTGTTTTCGTCAGGTTGAACCCAGCCTCATCTACGTAGATAAACTCATGCTGGATCTCCTCTCCATCCATTTGTAAAACTCTCTGAAGAACAGTGTCAGGCAAAATTGTGTTCAGTGTAGATCTAGTATACATATTACAGTACAGTAAAAGATTATTAGACAGTATGCAAGATCACAATGCTTAGGTGAATACATACCTCTGCATAATCATGCCGCAGTCGTTTCACCCTTTCGGAATTGCGCTCGAAAGGCACTCAATAAATTTTCTTCATTTGAATATGTTTTTTTATTAGGATGCGTGCCAGTGTTGATGTTGAGACCTGATGGATATTGTTGAAACCGACGTGGTTATTGACAATGTTAGCTTGGAGCTGTTTGAGGGTTATAGCATTGTTGGCCAAAACCATGTTTACTATCTCCCTCTCTTGCTGTTCTGTGAACATAGGAGGCCTTCCCCCTCGTCGTTCCTGACCCTCAATCCTATGTAGGAAAAAAAACAGTAAACAATAGTACAGTAATTTCACAGGAAAAGGTAACAGAAGTGATGATAGTGCATAGAATACAGTACTGTAGGCAGTTGCTGAAACCGTGCAGATGTTTTTGATATGATGATATTTTTACAATACCTATTTTCCAGTCGAAATGTTCTTATCACACTTGCCACTGTGTATCGGCTTAGATTTGGCTGTACTCTCAGTCCAGCCCCCCTCATCGTCAGGCCGTGGTTGACAACGTGGTCAACCAGTGTTGCGCGGATCTCATTTGTCAGATTCGGTCCTCTTTGAGCACGTTCTTGTCTTCCTCTTCCTCTACCTATACCTCCAGCATGGCCTCCATCTCTTCCTCTTCTGTTGATTCCTCCTCTGTTGATTCCTCTTCCTCCCCTTCCTCCTCTTCCTCCTTGTCCTTCTCCTCCTCCTTGTCGTCCTCCTCCTTGTCCTTGTCCTCCTCCTTCTCCTCCACCTCATCTTACTATTTCTCTGACTCTTTCCATTGTGCTTGAAGACCGATGAACTCACCTGCTGCTTTTTATAGTGCTTATACGCCTGATTGGTGTGTCTACAATTAAGCAAACAAGTGTTTGCACACCTGATGACTGTGTTGAATCAATTGGTTGGAAGGTGTGGTAATTTGACAGTCAGTGCTTTGGTATTACAAGGAAGAGACTTCATAATAGATTTTTGTGTGTAATGTATGTTAAGTGTGTTTAGTGTTTTGCAAATCACTGTGTGTAGAGTTTTGAACAAGTGTGAGGTTGACAATGTGCTTATAGTTGTGCAAATAAGGGCTGATGTTTTGCTTCTTGGGTGTAAGGTTTTGCTAATAGTGTACTACTTTTAACTTTAGTGTGTAAGCAATCCAAAAAAACTGTAAGTAAAGTGACATTTTGTTACAGTATTATGAATCTCCATGTCAACATTTTGGGCGTGTTGAGAAATAAATGAGTTTCTTCAGTCTGCAACATTGGTCTTGTGTTTGGTGAATTTACATTATATTTGTACTTTGTTGATGGTAGCCAACTCTAATCATAGGGAAGTAGAAGTGCTAAAAGTGTTTTAGGTTTATCACAGCAGAGTGTAACTCGTGCAAACAGAATATGGTAATGTGAAACGTGTGAGTTTCATATGGTAACAAAGTGTGATTTTTAAACAGAAGTGTATAGTTTTTACAAGAGTGTTTAATTATGCAAAGGATCTGTAGTGTTTTGCTAATTGGGTGTATGGTTGTGCTAAATGTGTGTAGTGTTTTGAAAACACGGGCTCTGTTTTGAAAATCGTGCTTAAGCAATCAAAAAAAACTGTAAGATTAAAGTCAGAATTCTATTTTCCCATATTAAACTGAAATAAAATTTTAAAAATCAGTTAACTTTGTTTTTTATTTCTTTCAGTGGCCCTATTTCCTCTTCCGTATTTGAGACATAATCCACTTTTTTACTGTACAAAAATAAAGACTTTTTACGTTATCAATTAAGCAATAAAATGACTTTAAGGTTTTTGAAACAGATTTGTCTGTTTTGGTAAGAAATGCTTACATTTCACGTTAAAATGTCAAGTTTCAATAGATGTGACATTAATTCAGTAATGTAATTTAAAAATACAATTCCTACAGAAGGTCATCCATCTCACAGTCTACTGTTAGCCTCCACCTGTCAGTAGACCACCAATTTCATTAGAACCTGACCACACCACTGTCATCTGTCTGGTCCTGG